AGGAGAACAAGGGGCGGGTGCAACTCCCCATTGAGGAGCGGCTGTAACAACTGGGGCTGCTTGGCTTAGAACAAAGGTGGGAAGGGGAGGCATGACAGAGGCCCAGAGGTTTATTCCTGGGGTAGAGAAAGTGGACAGGGAGGGACCTTTTCTCCCTCTCCCATAATACGAGAGCCTGGGGTCATCCCATGAAGCTGACCGGTGGGAGATGTAGGGCTGATAAAAGGAAGCACTTCTTCACACAGTATATAGTTAAACTATGGAATTTGCTGCCACGGAAAGTGATGATGGCCAGCAACTTGGATGGCTTTAAAAGGGGATCAGACAGAGTCATGAGGAGGAAGCGATGAGTGGCTGCTAGCCTTGCTGGCTGTGTGCCCCGTCCTTTGCCAGAGGGGGCCGGCCTGCCTGCCTGCACCAGTTGCTGAGGAGCTTGGACGGGGGAGGTCTTGCTCCCATCCTGCCTGAGGGATCCAGTGGGCAGCTGGCTTGCCACCACAGAAATGGAGTTCCGGACCTGATTCAGCATGGCTTTTCTTATGTTCTTATGCTCTTAGGCTCAGTCTAGATTAAGCCCTGGTTAAAGGGGTTGGGGTCTTTAATCCTTTGTGGCCCTCTCTGTGTTCCTAATCTAGATTGGTTCCCTGACACTTGCTCTTTGTGTTGGGAAGAAATCCATTTAGGCCACTGGGAATTTTTTCCCCAGTACAATAGTAGGTTCGGTCCTCACTGGGACAAAAATGGAAAGCACAAAGTGTTAAAGCCACACCTGATTCCAATCCTGTGCTTGCTAATTAGCTTTTGAAAGGCACTCACAGATTTGCTGATTACCTTTGTGGGTCTTTATCTCATCCGGCCCTTGTTACAGGGAGCCTACAACCCAAAGCACAATATAAATGGTCACCAAGGAGATTGGAAAGCCACTTGCAAACCTCCAGACTAAGTGAAAGGCAGTGGTGCCCAATCAGTGTGTCCGATATGAGTTGTCATTAAATTCCTGTAAACTGGGGATGGGGCAATTTAAACTCTATCTCTGCCTGTGCTTCTCATCCCCTGCCTAAAGCACTGCCTCTTCCCAAAGTTTACTTCGGTGGGATGTTTGTGCACATTCGTGCGCACAAGCAACTATATAGGGATTTGACACATGTTAGTTGTTAACTCTGGTTTTGTTCTCTGATGGCTCAGTTCCTCCACACCGGACTTCTTCATATATGAAAAGTTCTAAATAACAGCAAAGAAAGTAACATCACTTTCTTTGGCATTACTCGCAGTATCCTTAGTTGCTGATTGCTGGATTAGCCTATTGAGACAAGGAGAAACAGTAGCCTCTCAAAGGACAAGTGTCGCCTACCACCATTCACTGAGCATGCAGTGAAAGGTGCTTGGGAAACAAGCCACATGATAAACGAAGGAACTGTGTGATGTACCTTAAACTGGAGAAATAACATCTACAGCGTTTGCCTCTCTGAGCCTTTGGATCCAGACCTTTAATGACACACCTTTGACAATCGATGATGATGAAGAAGAAGAAAAGTGAATCATTTCTCTCTGGGGAAATAAGCCTCAAAGGAAATTAACTGTGATTTTGAGTGCCTGCACATACCTCCTTACCTTTTTAATTCTTTTTCAACACACAGGCAACATTTGGAGAAAAGCCCAGTTTGCAGCCTGTTTTGACAGAGTGCTTTAGATTTATATAAGGATTCCCAGTGGTGTAGGGTCTGGGCAGAAACTCTGCCAAAAGATACAATGTTAGGCTTTCTGTCAAGCTGTTCTAACTGTGGAAAGCAATCTAACTGTGTATCCACTGGCAGGATTTAAGTGAACACTGTCCTGGATGAGAATCAGTTGGAACAAACTTTTTTAACATTCATGTGAAGTGGGAATTGGAAGGTGGTAGAAGAAGATTGGGAGATAAGTTGTGTTTGCTGATTATATGGATTGCAAGTGAACAACTATAGGACTTTACATCTTTAGGGAAAGGGACCAGGGAAATTAAAGTAGCTCCAGAATATGTTTTTTGGTGCAATTTTTCTGCTGTTTGTAAACATTTGCAATGAGAGGATTTTAATATGCGTACATGGAGAAATAAGTGCTTTCAAACAGGATACTCCATGTGCAATTGTAGGAAAACTGGGCTATATAAAATAGATTAAATTCACCCTCAATATCCCATTGTTTTCATTAGCTGTGACTTTTTTTCTTGGCATGCAGTCAAGGCATTTTGCTGCCTGAAGTGGAGTGCAAATTTCTCCCAGCTCCTACCCCCTTGCAGGGCACAACTTTTTTTAAAAGCCTTGTAGCACTAGTCAGATATCAGTTCCAGTCCTCATTGCTCCCTCTCTTCCCAGTAATGCTGCATTCTGTCCCTGATGGCTCCTGCATTGCTCATTTCCATTAAGCAGGCTCCTGACACAAACAGCTTGCCAACTAAATAATTTCTGGAACTCTTTTGAAAGAAGAATGCATAACAGTAGATGATGTAAGGAAGGCTGCTGCTCCCATTTTAGCCAAATGTCATCAAAGTGATTATGAATGCAGCTTGTGCCATGTCCTGCTTAGAGGTTGGTTGCTAGACTCTTTCCTATTCCCTGCAGGAGTCTGTGCAGAAAAATCATTAAAAGACAGGAAGAGCTGAAGCAGGCTACCAGTCTCCAAATTTAAAGCCATATCAATGCATCCTAAGGCTTTCACAAGGAAATTCTAAAGGCTGGCTCTTTCTTTGTGTGCTATTGATGGAGCCAAAGAGGCAACCTGGGGAGAAACCATCTAGTGTAATTACGCACTATCTGATTTTCTGACCTCAGAATGGTCGTGCTCAGCAGTCTTCTCGTCCTACCCATAGGAAAGCCTTCTGATGGGATTGAGAGATGCACTTTGAGGAATTGTTTCCTCGCTTTCTTTTCTTAAAACACAGGCCACCTACCCTTCCAGGATGATAGACAACCCTGTAGGGAACATTAGGGCCAAATAACAGCTCCACTGATCACTAGATTGATTTCTTGTATCCTCCTTTGTTTAGCAGGGCTTTTAGACTGGCCTACAAAGCTAATTCAGTTTGATGCTACCGTCCTTGTATGCAGACACATAGTTAACACAGATTTTTAATGTTGGCACTCAGAGCCAATGTCCTGAAAAATCTCTCCCTGTAGAAGCAATTTCCCCAAAAGCTTAGTGGAAATGCTGTACTGCTCCGAACTGAAAACAATCACAAATCCTTCTCCTCCCCATCGCCACCCGCTTTTGGAGCCTTTTAAAATGCTAGATCCATGTTTTCTTATATAGGAATTATAGTCTGTGATGTAAAAAATGTGTACATGACAAATCAGATTTCACCACTCCACAGTAAGGAAACTTAGAGCAGTAAGGTGATTTTCTCCTCACCCCTTGCCATTGCAATATGTGAATACTTGTGAGTTAAGCAGATTATGACAGATAATCACAAATGTTTTAATTTTTAAAATGTAGCTGTGCGAAAGTCTGGGGTTCCTTTAAGCGGTTGTTCCCTGATCTGTCACACACAGCAAAGACTGGAAGTTGCTTCACACTGCAATCAACCCAGCCCAAGATAACCTGCATTAGCCCTTCCTAGCCTGGGGCCCTACAGATGTGCAGACTCCAAGTCCCATCACACCCCAATAGCTGTGTGTGGCTGGGGATGATAGTAATTGTAGTCTAGCACAACTGGGAGGTGCTGGGTCAGAGATGACTGATTTACACTGATTGGCAGCAGCTCTTCATGTTTCCAGCGAAGGGTGTGTCCCAATCTGCTTGGAGATGGCAGGGCTAGAACCTGTGACCTTTCGTACCTGAAGCATGCGCCCTGCCTCAAGGGAAGAAAATATTTGGCAGGTCCATTGTGAAGAGCCTCTCTTCAGCATTCATGCATTTTCAAGAGGGATGAAGGCTTGGATGATTGGGTCTTCTGTGGGCAGGTCGCTCACACTTATGCATCTTGCTTTGTACATTGACTCAGAGATGATGTGATTGTACCTTGTATTTAATTATGCTGGCCCCTGGGGCAGTTTCTTGGCACAAAAGCAGCTGATTTTCCACTCTGTATTCAAGAACTTTGACTGCTCCAAGTCTGTGTTGCATTGATTTCCTGAGCCCACATTTAACTTACTGTTATTTAAAAGAAGTGAAGCAGAAAGGTCTTCTGAGGGAAATGTTGAAGGCTGTGTGAAAGGGAGCATGAGATGCTATATCAGGGCTTAAATTGTGCCAAGGCTCAGCCCTACCACTTTTTGCTGCCAGGGCTTAACTTGGAAACATGAAATAGGAGTAGATGGAAGTGTCCTTGAACAGGTGCAGGGCGCATTTCCTTGGTGACTGAGTGACTGTAGAGAGCGCCCAAATACCAACAATTAGAGAGAAGGGAATTAAGTGCAAAATATGTTTCCGGACAGCCAAGAGCAGATGTATCACTTCAGCATTAGGTTGAGGGCCTTGGGAATACCTTTGTGTCATTTTTTGAAGCACCATTACCAGTTGTGTTTTTCCTTGTTCTCCAGGATTGCTATTTCCATTTTTATCTTTCTGTTATATTTCATGTCGATTTGAAAGTGGTCTAGATAAACCTTAGTATTCTATTAGAGAAGTGTGTCCACAAGTTTGCTATGCTTATAAAGTTCATTTCCTCCCCCCCCCCCCACCCCAGTATAGGATGGGGAGTGGAATTCTATATCTCAGTATTTTAGTGAAATTAAATTTGGCCACATATTCTTAGTACCAGTTCAACAAGAAAAAGTGTTGCCACCAAGTCCCAACCTGGCCAAACTTTCCAGAAGGATACCATGATGGATGGTGTTGAAAGCTGCCGAGAGGTTCAGGAGAACCAACAGGGTCATACTCCCTCTGTCCTTCTCCCAGCCAAGATCATCCCAAGGAGGACCAAGCCAGTTTCGGTCCCAAAACCAGGCCTAAAGCCTGATAGAAATGGATCTAGATAATTCGTTTCATCGAGAAGTGTCATTTATGTGCTGTGCATCCTCTTCCAGGTACTCATTCCAGGATGAAGAAGACATGTTTATGGTGGTGGATCTGCTCCTTGGAGGAGACTTGCGTTACCACCTGCAACAAAATGTCCGCTTCCAAGAGGACACAGTGAAGATATTCATCTGTGAGATAGGATTGGCGCTAGAGTATCTGAAGAGCAGGAACATTATCCACAGGTGAGTCATGGGCTTTAAGGTAACAAACACTGTACTTCACTACCAAGCTTCCTGTGGTTGAGCCTTCATTAGTTCCGCCAGGCAGCTGTAGTGCCAAAGCACAACAATTTTCTGACTCACTGACCTTTGTCAGTGAGCAGACAGCTTGAAGTTGGCTTATTAGGAGGAAAGTGCATGTGAGTGTTTCCACTGCAATTTGATAGATACATTACTAACATAGTACTCTACCAAGTTCAGTTAATAATATTGATGGTGGGGTGGCATAACATCTTAAAAAATCTTTTTTAGAACCATCTTTACTACCATTATTATTGGACTTTTTCTGCTTTTATAAGTGAAGAACAGAAAAAGTGTTACAAATGTCTAGCTCCATAGCTGAGTGAAAGATAGAAGCATATGGGAACTGCCCTCTTTTGTAGGTACATTCTGTTCTCCTGTAGAAATGAGATATGTGAGTGAATTCTTAAGGTGATTGGCAAATGCTGTAAATAAATGTATTGTTCGCTGTTCTGAGAGTTTCATTGCTAATAAGCGGTATGTAAAAGCTTAAATAAATTTAAATTTTTGAAAAAGCATACATGTGTGTAACAAGGCATAGTTGCAGATATAGCTACTTTATTAGGAAAAAACAGAAAGCAGAAAGCTTCCAGTAGACAAGTAAATATATTTTAGATGAACAAACACACGGGCATGCATGCCCATGTGCACATGCACACACACATGTGTATCTGCCCGCTTGCACAGTTGGTACTTTTGGACTCTTCTCTCTAAATGGTCAAGATTGGATGGTGAAACACTGGCCTGGTTCACACATAGCGACAGCAAATTGTAGGTGAATTAACTCATAATTTGCTAGAGTTGTGTGCCACAGCCATTTTTAATAGTAATTTCAATCAGTTCAGTCAGAGGTTCCTCTGTGATGTGCAAACACAGACACTGTGGCTTAATCATAGGTTCAGTAACTGAAAGTTAGCCTACAACTGTTTGTTAAGTTCACTTTGGGCTTTTTGACCCACCGTTAACCCATAGCATCCAGGTTTGCACATCAAGAGGCAACTGCCAATTGGACTGACCAGAGGTTGCAAAGCTCATACCACAGCAAAGTGTGGGCTAATTAGTCTGCATCTTGCTGCCATTATGTTCAAATGGACCTGCTGGTACAGGCATCCCCTTAGGCTACTTGTGTGCCTCTCAGTTTGGAACACTTTGCTTGAGTGATACTTGGGTGCAGTTAGTATTAAATATACTGGAGACAAGCTACACATGCACACTGATGGGTTCTTTGTGTTGGTAAATCTGTGGGCAGGAGGAAACTGGAACTGAAGAAAGGGCAGGGAGAACCTTAACCCTAAACCTTCCCATTTTCTGCTGAATCTTTTCAGCTCCAGTAGCGTTTGTTCTCATGGGTTTTGAGGCACACATCTGTTAAGTGAACAAGTACCAGGACTATGAGGTGTGGAGAGAGAAAGAGTCTGGAGGAGAATGCAAAAATGGGAGCTGGCCAGTGCCATTTAGCTGCTGTAGTATATGTCACCCTCAAAGCTGTCTAGATGTGCTAATTGGGGGCTTTTTGTTAAGTATATTTGCATGTAATACCAGACAAATTCTGTCATGACATCTAGCATTGTCAAGATAACTTGTGCATTGACTTCCATGTAAACTCATTTCATCCAGATGAGTTATCCAGATGAGCTTAGACCTTTGTCCACAGCTATTTTAATACAGAGATGATTATTGTATAAAACTAATTTTGGTAACATGCCTCGTTTGAATCTTACTGTTTTCAGATGAGCATTGGTTATCAGAGTATGATGGAGATCACTATCCAGAACATTTCTCATGTTCCTCTAAAAGACTTGAGATTTTTTCCCTTTTGGGAAAGGAAATGCCTCATCTGTGCCATTGCAAACATTGACGCGTGAAGGCTCAATGCTGCATGGTGGGCATGATTTTGTATGTAGCCTGTTTTAGGATTGTGGATCATTTCTAACTATGCCAGCAACTCATCCTTTCCAGGTTCTTGTGGCATGACATTGCAATGCATCCTTTATTGAAGTTGGAGGCTGGTACACATCACAGAACCCCACAGGGAAATTATCCCACAGTGGGTTGCTGTGATGCATGAACATTCCCCCCCCCCTTAACATTTTATTGACTCTCAGTATTCTTTTACTATCCAGTTGATGGCAGGGTAGGGGCGCAGCTATTCAAGAAACACATTTCCAACCTTGCTGACTGGGCATAGTTACTCGCATGGTTATCTGGTTTGTCACCAATACTGATAGTGTGTTCCTCTGAGAGTCATTAATATATACAAGGTTGCAGTGTGTTATCCCAAGGACAAGTTCAATAGCAACTCTTTGAAGGTCAGTCAAAAATGCATCTAATGGAATTCTGACTTGAGTAAATAATGTAGGATTCAGCTCTAAGTGGGTAATTGTTTCCCATCAAAAACGTTATTACTTTTCACTTCATCTGTTTTTATGCAGTGTAAATGCCATAATACTCTGGAGCTCTGGGAATTAAAACAGATTGTAGAGGAAATGCAAATTAAGAAGTTGCAAATGCGATGAAGTTTAAAGATATGCTAAGTATATACAATTGTAACTGAATCTACAAAATTACTCAAGTGAAGTATTCTGAACGTCTGTCTTAACAGCATTATGGGCCCCGCGCAAAGTAGTGTACTGGGGCCCCTACGACAACTACAACTACTGTTAATTTTGGAAGTTTTCCAATTTTCCAAGGGTTAACATGCACAGATTAGTATGGGGTCCATGGGCAAGTGCCCATCAGGCCCATGCGTTAAGACGGCCCTGCATGAGGCACAAAAATATGTAACACACATTGTATGGTTAAAGTGGCTGACAAACTTCTGAACAATGAAGTGTGTGAGATAAAAATGAGTTTTTAATTTTTAAAAATCAGATTTTTAAAAAAGTTATGTGCATTTGTTAAAATTGCAATTCAGTGAGGTTCCACATCAATAAAGTGAAATCTGAACTTAATTCAATATGCTAAAGCCAGTACTGTTTTACTGGCAGAAGCTGTTCCATCAGTACTTAATTCTGTACCACTCTAATTGTACTTGGCTTCCTACTGGACTCAGGGATTAAGAAGCCATTGCTGGTTCTCAGATCCAGGAAGTTCACTTCCTATATATCACCCAGTTCATGCACTGAGTAATGTTACAGTTAGAATTGTTTGTGCTTTTTGTGGAGAATGGTTCTTGAGATCAGGAAAGCTATTGCAGAGCTTGTAGGCTTTAGATCACACATGGGGCAAAACATTTTGATTTTAGTTTGGGCAGAGTAGTTGCTTGTAATACTGCTCTTTTTGAACATAAAATTTGAACAATTGTATACAATTGCTAGTTTACAAGAGCTTCACAGAATTGTCAAGGAGAGGACATTTGGAAAGTATTCATACATCTGGTGAATAAATAAGTCGCATCTAAGTCAAAGATGACAGCATGCAACAGCAATATACATTTGTTAAGGAAAATTTATAGTTTCATGTTTTGCCTTTCAAAACTGTATAGTAACATTGATCTAGGGAAATGAACACAATGAACATTGGAAAAAGTACTGATGCTTAAACCCTTTTTATCTGAAGTTTCACAATATACAATAGGTTACAAATGTACTTGACTGAGAATACTATGCTTTGCAAGTTTTTTTGGGGTCTTCTTACATATTCAAGAACAAAGGTGGAACTGTATTGCTGCAGCACTGGGATGTTTCGGGATCTTAATCCTTCATCTCCATTTTATAAATGTACAAATTATCTTAATTTGTAATGTGTTTAACTGTCTGCATCTGGAAAGATTCAGCTACCTATTTCATGCTTGTGCAACCAGAGGAGCCTTCCAAACAAAACACTGTGGTAATGAAGGTATTAGGTTAACTTACGCTGCTCTGCATCTGTCCACAGAGCCACCAAATAATGAATGAGGATGAATTACACTAGGCGAGACAAGAGGGAATAAGGTTGTCTTGCATTAGGTTTGCTAAGGTCTGGAAATAGTGTTGGGCAAAGACCCAAGGATCAATGGTGTTACTGCTACAACAATCAGTATTCTATATGCTGGAGCTTGGGGAGATATTAGTTTAGCTTGTCCTTAGATTATTGTTACTAGTGGTGAGAGGGTTACTGGAAATGTGCTTCATATAATTCAGTGATCTTACAGCACATGATGATGCACAAGGCTTGTGGCTTAGGAGGAGAGAAGGAGCTTTTCCTCGCCCATATCTCAGGCCACTCTGGATTTCAGACCGTTTAAGTGTTGAATTCCATACTCTGTTGAAGTGTCATTTCTCGTGACTGCAATGTGTTATTGCTAACTTGATAAGCTTGCTGGATAGTGAGATCAAACGATGAAAAAGCTATCAGATGATTAATGTAAGCAGATATAAGGTAGTGTCTGTTGTATGTTACCTTCTTTTATAATGAGTTATTGGACCATTTGAGCGCAGGAGTGAGCCTGCATAACTCTCATGTTTATCAAGATAATTTTATTGGAGCAAGATACAGAGTTATTGGTTATTTGCCAGCATATTACATTACTTGCACAGCTGTCTGTTACAAAAGCACTTGGGTTATTTGGGGAAAACATCAACAAAAAGACTTGTATGGACATGTGCTCTTTTAAAAGAAGAGAAGGAATGGCATGGCCAGGGGGTATGCCACAACATGGAAGTGAGGGCTGAACTGAGAGAACAAGTCTTTCGGTGAAGCAGAGAATAAATGTTGAGAGCCGAAGACTTTCAGTGCCAGGGCTCTGGGTGAACTCTCATTTTTTTCCATGGATGCAAATCCATAAAATAGATAAGGAAGTTATGCTACCTTGTTACTTGAAACTGCATCTCAACAAAGAACAGGAAGCCACTCTGAGGAGAAAAGCCAAGGTGTTTCTCTATTCCTTATGACACTTTCCCATGGATAATTATATTATTTGGAATTAATTTCTGCAAAGGCCCAATTTATGCTCACAGTAAATA